AAAAACTGTATTATAAAGAGGAATGTTTTGGTTGGTTGCTTGGATTATAATGCATTGGCAAAATGATACCCCCCTTTCCCCCCAAAAAAATAAAAGCTTTGTTCACATGGAGCTAAAGGAAATAAGATGGCAGGCATAGAACATAATCCAGATTTGCAGATTCATTTTTTATTAATTATTATACATGTTCTCAAATTTTGTTTTTTAATTACATTTTCCTAATCATAAAATTAAATCATACTTATTGAAGAGATTTTGAAAATATTACAAATCAATCAACCAAAAAAAAGCAAACTCATTTATAATTCCATCATTTAAGGATAATAACACTTTAAGGTAATGAATGAACGATGATATCCAATATATTTTGGATTTGAGTTAAATCTTTACTGATTATTATTTGTCTTTAAAAGTTACTTTAAAAGATTATGTTCTGTGCCTGCCATCTGATTTCCTTTAGCTTCATGTGGACAAAGCTTTTATGTACCTCACATTTCTCATCTATAAAGTGGGGGTAATTATAGGATTTCTTTGTAGGGTTAGATAAAGTACTGAGAGTCTAGTAGATCTACTAATCACTGTAGCTATTTCCTTTCTGCACATATATATTTAGTTATATTTAGATATACTACATATTCCTATTTTCATTGAACATCACGTAAGCATTTTCTTGTGTAGTTTTCTTAGGATAACTGCTGCATCATTTCATGGTAGCCCATTCAGTGCACAGTACTGGGTTAGTGTGAAATGATGGGTGCTGGGTTTTTTATCTCACAACCATGACCTGATGGGGACTGTGGCATTGTCTTTGGTGTGATCATTAATTAAGCTTAGTGAATAGAGAGGAATATTTAAGGCGGTTACGTTCTGGAGACTGTCAGCTTATGATTGAATCTTGATTCTGCAGCTTGAATGATATATTGAACTTCTCTGCGCCCCTCCTGTACAACTGAGTAGAAATAATACCGATTTCATGGGTGGTGAGGATGAGTTTGATAGTTGATCCTGACACATGGCAATTGTTTACTGAGTATAAACTATTGTTCGTTACTATGTCCTGGACTTAAAATTTGTTTATATAATTAAATGTGTGAGAAATGCAGTGATTTTTCACAAGAAATGTGAGAGTATAAACTGTGAAATATAAGATAGCATCATACAAATATGTTTTAGTTCAACATGATTGGATTTTTCTCCTACTTTAAATAATAGCACATTTTACCTCCTTTAAACTTGTGATCCAGAAGACAAAAAGACAAAAATCAGAGAACTTTTTATAATTTTCTTCAGTGATTCAAAGATGGAATGTGATTTTTATCTGTTATTCTTCATTAATGACAAAATGCTTTTTCTTAGTTTTTCAAAAGTTAAATTTAAACAAAGTACCTGAAAATAATAATGCTGACATTTATAGATCACTTACTATGTGCTATACAATGTTGCTTTTTTTTGCTTATATAAATTCATGTATATATATATTTTTTTTAAAAGATTTTTTTATTCATACAGAACTGGGGTACAGGCCAGAGATGCAGAGGGTGAGAAGATTCACCAGAGACAGAGTGGGGAGCAGAACAGGCAGATCGATGAAGTACACTGCTGAGGGGAGCAGCAGGCGGGTCAGGAGAGGTCTGCCACGCCATGTGGTCACCTCCCAGGCAGGCGTGGATCGAACTCATGGGGAAGTGACTTTAGCATCTTAGTGCTGTGCTTTAACCTGCTGCACCATCAGAGAGGGCCAATTCATGTATATTTTTAAAATGCCCTAGGCTCTATTACTATCTGCATTTGTAGAATGAACTGAGGTTTCACTAAAGAAGAGGTTAAATAACTTTCTGAAGGTTACACCGCTAGGGAGAAAATTCTGTCCTTTTAGTTAGATCCAAAGCCCTTACCATTAACCATTCCATTATGTCACCTAACAATTCCAAAAGAAAAAGTATAATAACTAAATATAATACCTTCATGTTATAGTAAATTTCTGTTAATCCAAGAACTCAATATTAAGTTCAAGAGTAGGTTTTTTAAAAACTCATTTTTGTTTGTGGAAAGACAGGCATGCAAAGCAAATTTCAATTTTTTTTTTCTTTTCAGCTTTTCAGTCATGGAACACAAGTATTATATCAAAGCACTGAAGCTTTTCAGTCTAAATTCTTTCCACCCCTTCAAAAAGCGATGCTACCACCTAATAGTTTTCAAGGCAAAGTGGTGTTCATCACTGGGGGCGGCACCGGCCTTGGTAAAGGGATGACAACTCTCCTGTCTAGCCTGGGTGCCCAGTGCGTGATAGCCAGCCGGTAAGTCCATCCGGGAAACAGTCTGTGCTGCTGTACGAGAGCCGTTTGCCCGAGGTTTTCTGTGAAACAGTCTTCTGTGAAACAGCCTTTGGATTATTTAAGTAAATCTCCATGGAAAGTTAATTATGAGTTGTGGTGGTGATACGACTGATGACTGACATGATGGCACTGATGACATATGCATTTCCCAATTCAATGATAGAACTGAGTGAGTGAAGATGAAGTCAAAAAGTACTCCACTGCAGTTAAGTCATTTCAGTGGGAATGATTAAGATGACCATTTCAATAGTTGACCTTGTACAGGGATAATGGATGTGTCCCTTCATTTTCTGTAAGATGGGAAAATATTTCAAAATATCTGTATGATGAATGTATTCAGGGTAAGATTATTATGGGAGGGCTATCTTCTGATTGAGGCCTGTCCTGGTGCCCTTTACTATGTCAATCTAGAGCTTTAGAGACTAGTCAGAAATCTACCCCCTACTATTTAGGTAAGCTGAGTAGTAGTTTGAATGACAAGTTACTATGTAAAAAGGAATTTTTTTAGGTGTTTCTTTTAATTTAAATTAGGCAGCATGTTTTTTGATTTTATGTTATAATTTTTTTGAGTATTAAATATATTTATTTCCAAAACTGTGTAGTTTATTTTTTGTGTGTGTGTGGTTTTTTTTCCCCCAAGAGCATGGAATTCTAAATGCATACTGATTTCCAAAACCCATAAATTTGGTCTAAAATCTACTGACATAGATTTGATAAAATAATACAGATTTTATATAGTGTAATATAAGTTTATACCCATGTTTCTTTCTGAAGTATCTTGGGCAAAGGAGTGGATAGACATAATTGTAGTTAAGAAAATAATTTTAAGTGAATAGCTAGAAAATAACATGGTTAGAAGTGAATAGTTCAGTTAATGTCTGGTATATAAAAATCACTTGAACTTAGAAAGTGAATCCATTCATACTGATTTGGTTTTTTTGATGTTACTTTTACAGTTTTTCAAAAATATGTTTCTTTAAGCTATAGATCCTCTTTGTTTTTTAACTGAAGAATTAAAAAGAAAAAATATGAAGTCATTTCAAAATTCATACAAAGTACCATGTATTTATTTCTAGGAAGATTGATGTTTTGAAAGCTACTGCAGAACAAATTTCTTCTCAGACTGGAAATAAGGTACACTGAAAAAGTTACTTAATTCAGATTTAGGAATTCAGATTTAGGAATGCCTAAATAACACTCATATTTTTAGTTTAGGAAATCTTAAATTATAATATTCTTTTCTTCTTTGTTATTTTGTAGGTCCATGCAATTCAGTGTGATGTGAGGGATCCTGAAATGGTTCAAAAGACTGTGTCAGAACTGATCAAAGTCGCAGGACATCCTGATGTTAGTATAATGGTGGTGAGGCCAAAGTACAAGGTGTTTGATGTTGATAACACTCACTAAGATGCACTGAAAAAATAAAATATTGATGTAAGCATGTTCTGTGTTGAGAAACACCTATTTTCTGTCCTTAGAAAAGTCCCCACTATAAGACTGCTACACTACTTCCTCTCAGGAATATTTTAAAATTGCATTTACAATCATATAGAACAAACCTGATTTCACTTTATTTAATAAGGTTATGAAATAAGAAAAGCAGTTACCCAGGAGCATAATATCTAGTTTAAATGATTCATGCTGTTTGCTTTTCCTAATAACTTTTGATTATCTCTCTCACTGGAGAAGAATAACAAAAACAAAGAGATCTACAAGAGCCTCCAGATTTCTCTTTTATGACCTGAGATACATAAGGGTATTGGAAAGAGATTATCTCTTCTACTGATCTCAAAGAGAGCACAATGTAAAAGATATTTTTAGAGAGACTGATTATACTGAATATGCAGTGAATCTAAATGGACTCTTATTTATAGTGAAGAAATAGGTCATCAACCAAAAGTTTCATTAAGCCACGTTAAATCAAAATGAAACCAAGCAATTAAATGAAATTGAAAGGCATTTCTTGAAATTCCTTGAAATAAAGTATAGTGACATAGTAGGTATACTTAGTCTGTATTTATTTTCTCTGTAATGGAGTCTAATTTTGAAGTAAGAATTAGGGTTCTGAAACTTAGTAAATAAAATAGATTTTCACAGGCTCAAAAAAAGTGAAAACAAACCAAACCTCTTGTTATTAATTCATGGCTGTGACTGTGAACCTCAGCTTTATTGAATTATTTGGGTTAATTTCAGAAATAAAAGCCTTTGTGGGAAGATATTGTTACTCATATAAAAAAATTTTATAACTTGCCTTATTCATTTACTAGATTGTGATAAACAATGCAGCAGGAAATTTTATTTCTCCCACTGAAAGACTCTCTGCTAATGCTTGGAAGACCATAACTGACATAGTTCTAAATGGCACAGCCTTTGTGACACTAGAAATTGGGAAGCAACTGATAAAAGCACAGAAAGGTATGTTGATTTATTTCTCACTTTTTTATTGGGTCCCTATTATCCTCAGTTCGCTGCTGTTCTATGGGGATTCTTGTAGAAGTCAATGGTAGAATACCTGTTTTAAATGGGAAAGAAAGATATTTAAATAATTACCATATGCTATATAGAATCCAATGAAAATACTCCAGATGCACTAGAAATCCAGAGAGTGAATAATTCTCTGTAGGAATGATTATAAAGTTGAGAGACAAGATGCAATTGAAACAGAATTTTTGAAGATATGATGTAGAGAGAAGGGAGAGGGAAAGGAAATATGAATATCCATGGGAAGAGACCTGGTAGAGGGGAGCAATATGCGTTTGAGGCCTGATGAGAAATTTGATGTGGTGTTAGATATAGGGAGAGAGACTGTGAAGAGAATGCTTAAGGGGGAAGTGGTGGGCAAGGTTGCCCTGATTGGAAGTTTGATATTTACTCTGAAGGAAATGGGATGTTACTTCTCTATGGATTTCTTGGAAGGTGTCTCAGGAAGAATGTGGTATGATTGGAAAAGTTACTAGCCAACAGTGTGGGGGATGGTTAAGATTAAGGAAATCATTCATCAGAGTTAACCTGTTTGGGGGCATGAATAGTGTGGTGGCTAAACCAGGCATTTAAAAGATAAGGTCCATAGGCCTTGCTGATTAGATGGAGTTTAGCAGGGCAATGATGAGATCACTGAGGTTAAAATATTGGAAAGAGACTATATTTAGAAGGAAATTACTAGATCATTTTTGTTTGTTACTATGAACAAATTTCTTTATAAGGGTTCATGAGATATAAGTATGTGTAATCTATGTATGTGTTTTATATATACATATACACACAAAAACATATATGCCTAAAATGAATATACTTTTTTTTTAAAAGATTTATTTATTTATTCGTACAGAACTGGAGTACAGGTCAGAGTTGCGGAGGGTGAGAGGATTCACCAGAGACAGAGTGGGGAACAGAACAGGCAGATACACGAAGTACACTGCTGAGGGGAGCAGCGGGCGGGTCAGGAGAGGTCTGCCACTCCATGTGGTCACCTCCGGGCAGGCGGGGATCAAACTCATGTGGAAGTGGCTTAAGCTTCTTTGTGCTGTGCTTTAACCCACTGCGCCACCAGGGAGGGCCCAAGTATACTTTTATTAGACATTTATAACTTCTATATATCAGACTGTACTGCATGTCCAGATGACACAAGTAGACATAGACTGTGGGAACAAGTTGGAGTTGGGGCTTCAAGGTTTCGAGCACTTTTCTCCAAAAGGGTAGAGAGTATCTGAATAAGTTCAGAAGGGGAGCTCTTGTGCTCCTGGAAGGCTGCCAGTTGGGTCTTCAGGGGAGCAAGGAGGTGTGGCTCTGTTCTATCTGCTGCTTCAAAAGCCTTTCCTCATTAGGTTCACCTAGGCAGTATGAACAGTCCTCATACCAGCTTGTAAGTGGATATGGGACAGACAGGAGAATGCTAGAAAGACACTAATACTGTGCTGATATCTTCCATCTTTTCTCCACATACTCATTGAAATTTAACCCCCAGCTCACTCTTTCCCACTCCAGCAAAGTGATATTATTTAAATTTAGGGTTTGTATGATTCCTGTTTCAGCAGGAATGAATGACTGGGAATAGAGACAGACAGGAATGGGCTTGATTTGATCTCTTCCCTTCTCTGCTTGAAGACCTTAGATCTTTGTATTTCTTCTCCCTCCTTTCTCTGTCTGATTTCTCTCCACCTCTGACTAACTTCTTTAGTTCCTTTTTTTTTTTTTGCACATTAGAAATCTCTTCATCATTTATTATTCAGCACCAGCTTAATGCAGAAAATTTCAAATCACTCTGACAACCCATTCCCCTCACCCCAAATTCTTGATAAAGAGCTTTTGAAGTAAAGACATGTTCACTTCTCCCTTCTCTGTAAAACTCCATGAAGTAAAGGCAAAGAATTATATCCAACTTGCTATAAAATGCTGCCCATGACTAAGGCGACAGTGTCTGTCCTGGGGGTTTCACTGTCTAGGCTTTGTTCTGAAAAGCTCTGTTCATAAATTCTCTCTTCACAAAGCAAGTCCACCACTTGCTGGGTTTATTACTCTCAAGGGTGTGTCCTTTGATCTGACTTCTGATAGTTAATAGTGCCTTGTTTACAATGAGTTGGGTATTCATGAGGGAAGAGCATCTGGTATTGGATGGGCAGGTAAGAACTCAATTGCATCCTATGGTTTTAAACCACATCTCATTTATTTCTTTACCTGTCTGTCTCTGTCAACTTTCTTCTTTGGGTCTTAAGTCCTCTCTTAGTCACTTTCATCACTGTCGGTTTTTGTGCCTGATTTTGTCTTTTGTTTCCTCCTGCCCATCCCTGTGACCCCTGATTTCTGTTCAACTTGCCCTCCTTTTCTCATCATTATCTTTCATTTTAACATAGACTTTGATCTATTTTTAATCACTGCATTGGATTAAAATTCTATGGGCTTTATTAAAAATATATTCACTAAAAGACTTTTTAAAATATGGAAGCCAGTTTTTATTCTACTAAGATTCCTGTCAGTTATTGATGCTCTAACTTGACAGAGTTTTAAGGACATGTATAACTAAGTTCTGAGGAATATAGTGCAGAGTCTATTCTGGTATTGGATGGACAGTCTGCTCAGGGGCTAATGACCCAGATCTGACGTGTGTCCAAGTAGTAAATCTAGACATCAGTTCAGGGGCAGGCAGTCTATGGTAATTTGTGATTAGTAGTATGTTAGGAAGACAGTTAAGGTAAAGTATCTGGGAAACTCATTTTTTCAACTTCGAGCTGTTATTTTATTTTCTTATATCATTGTTCTTCCCTCAGTTGTAGTCACCATTGTTCCTCCCACTTTAGCACCTGTGACCCATCAGTTTGTGCTGTTCCCTTTGGCCCCTTTCCTTCTACCTCCTTTGCTGGATGCTTCAGATCTATTGTCATCAGCTGTTACTTTCTTTTTTAAAAGATTTTACTTAATTTATTTTTGCATAGAAGAACTGGGGTGTAGGCCAGACATACAGGAGGTGAGAGGTCTCACCAGAGACAGCATAGGGAGCAAAATAGGCAGATCTCCTGAAATATCCTGTTGAGAGGAGCAGCAGGTGAGACAGGAGAGGTCTGCTGTGCTCTGTGATTCAGCTCCCTGGCCATCCCAGTTAACTAAGGTGGGCCATCATTGTGGTGGTGGTAGCAAGAAGACCCCCGCCACCAGGGCGCCCCACCAGTTGTAATTGAGCTTCTTAGATATTTCTCTGCTTGTTCAGTTCAGGGATCAACCAAATATTTGGGGGGAGTTTATATTCAGATGTGCTTTCTTTATTTCCAGTTGCTCTGACAGTCTCACCTCTGTCCTTTGGAAGTAGGTGAAGTATTAGCTGTTGTTGCCTTCCTTTTGAAACTGATATTATTATGTTTAACCTGAACCCAACAACTGCCTTTGTTTCATTATCAGAGGCATACTAGATAGGAGTCCAACCCAGAAGAGTGTCCAATGACACTCTTCATATGTGGCTATATTTCAGAATCCTAAATTACTTGTTAACATTTTAGTATAAATATTAGTCAGATGTCCATTATTTATTGTCTTTTAAAAATGTATTTGTTTGGATTCCATTTAAAGAAAACTAGTTTTTTTCTTCAATTTTATTGCTTTCTCATGCATGTGTTAGTTGATAAGACATAAGGCAGCCTACCCAGATATTAATGTAGATTTTGAGCCACATGAGTTACTTTATACCAGTAGACTAGAGTTCTTTTACATAGCCCCAGAGGAGGAATCTGTAGTGTTTTCTACAGCTTCTATAATTAGTAAAGGTAGGTGATGTAGTAGGTGTTAGAATATTGAACGAGCACATGTGAAACATTGTTTTAGGGACATGACCTAGTTCTAAACAAATTTACTCCTTCCCCGCTCCCTATTTTCTTCTTTCTTTTATTACCAAATATTTATCAAGTGCTTTTTCTGTCTCAGGTTTTGTTCTAAGTGATAAATATTTGTTAACTTATTTAACTTTTAACTGAAATGATTCTAGAAAATGAATGCTATTTTAATGCCCTATATAGATGTGAATGGAAACTGAGACATAGTTGATCTTTAAGACATGAGGTGGATGTTTTTAAGCCCACTTTCACATATGATGGACTGTGGTTTATTAGATTTCTGATGTGTTAGCTATCACTGTCACTAACAGGTGACATGATCAGCTTTTTCATTGTTGTAAATGTTTTATTGGGGAAAAAGAAGGACCTGGAGTTTAACTTTAATCATGGTCCTCTAATTCACACGCAGTACTTGAACACTTAGTTAAGCTATGATTTTTTGCCACTACTCTGCTTTCTCATCTGTAAAATAGATTGGATAATTAATTACTACTTCAATAGTAAGAAAACAAGGGATTAGATTTAAAAGCTTCATGAAAGATATAAATTGGTCTACAAATGTCCACATGCTTCTTCTTGCAGGTGGATGAACATATGGTAGCCATATTCCTTAAATTTAAGGAATTTAATTTAAGGAATTTGGTACAAGTAATTTCTATCAGATTTTAAGAGTTTCAGGGAATCTAAGAGGAGGGGTTAGTCAGAAGTAGCCCCAGGAAGCTTGAACCATATGAAAACTGTGCCAGGAAAAGAGAAAATCTCTGTCTAGGTAGCTTTGTCATGTGAATTGAAGGAGAAAAAAGAAAGTCATTAAGAAATGTTTGTGAAGGGCTTTGTAGAGAGGATGGAAGCCAGTGGAAGCATGCCTGAGGGAATCTTACCAACAGCTGTGTGCTAAAGGAAGAGAGGAGAAAATGTAAATAATTCACTACCTGTAGAAAGAATAAGAAAAGAAAAGAGCTTTTTGGTCAATATAGATGATGAAGAAGCAGTTGAAACCTCTGAAATAAATAAAAAGCTTCATACTGTTCTTTCAGTTAAATGAGCAGAAAACACTTCTTTTAATCACCTGACTGTTCTAGACTAAATAATGTGATAGCTATTAACACAAAAATTAAAGGAAGAATTACAGAGTTTTCTCACTTTATTATGAGTGAGATTACTGTTGACAGTAATGATAGAAGAGTTAAAGCTGCAAACAATAGTTAAGTTGTGTGATTTGGAAGAATAAGAAGCTCATTGTTACTTGTGTAATGTTTAATGCCTGGAAATGCAAGCTGAGTCTTGTTGAATATGACCAAATATGAGCAGTAACACAAGGGCCTCCTGTGTCACCATATATGGGCAATAACACAATGACAGGAACCAGGCCTTGCATCCAGGTGTACAGCACCACCTCAGCTTTCTAAAACTGAACCTAAAGCCTACATAAGAGACCTTTTCCCCTACAGCACTTGCAGTAGCTGTAGACCCCACCCTAGGGAGCTCAGTCTCAGCTGCAGCCCTGGAGCAATAAATTATTTTTCAGCTTTTCTTCCTTGTGACTGGTCACAGAAATCAGGACAAAACAAGTCTGACATGTGGACTTACTCTCTGGAGATGGGTGAAGTTAGATTGAAGGATTTTAATATTCAAAGTGGAGATTAAGGCATGGTTAAACTGGATAGAGGCCCCGTGAAGGGAGATACTGAAGGACCAATGAAGGAATGTTCTGTAGTCATAACATGGGAAGGGACTTATTCTGGTTATAAAAAAGTTGATGAGGGATGTTGTGAGCCTGTATGAAGTTTGTTGATGCAGTTTTTGATGTTCACCTTCACTCTATGACTATTAAAACTCTTTGTGTAAGTGTGGAAGGCTGCTGTATTGTGGAGTTGCAGGGTAGGTGCTTTGACAAACTATGGTGTTTGGTATTTCTGTGATTATTTTATGTAATAGTAGGCTGTAAACAGGCAAGTTGGCTAGAAGGGAATTAAAGTAACCAGAATTTACAATAAGGCACCAAAGACCATATGTGTATATGAGAACTATCCAGGACAGCTTTTAGAAAGTAAGGCGCTGTATTGAGTATTCTGAATTGATGACAAAGCTCAAGTTGTTGGCTAAATTGAGATGAAAGTGAAGATTGTTGGAGATGGAAGATTGTGATGCTGGGAGATTTATGGCATTGTCCACTGGGATGTTGAAGTCTAATAGTATAATCGAAATTCAGGTTTGAGATGCAGATACAGATAATTATTTTAGGTTTGAGAACAGGAATCAAATTTCAATGAAAGTATAAGAATAGCTGGGGAGGCAGATAGCATAAGTTGAAGTTGGTGGTTGAAACCTGAATTATTATCAGTTTGTAATTGTTCTTGTTATCAACAGCAACAATTAATGAAAAATCCTTACAATCTAATGATATTTGCTGAACCCTATTTCCAAAAGGGCCTACAGCTTGCCTGAGGTCATACAGCAAACCAAATAGTAAGTAGTCTAATTGTGACAGGGCAGGGAGAGAGGGGCACCACTGAACCCCCAAACCTGCCTGCTCTATATAGTCAGTATTTGAGCCAAAGTGTCTTTAAACTAGATTATTCTACCTTTGTTGGTCATGGAAGTAAAATTGTTTATTATTTCAATTTTTATAATTTAGAGTAAATTAAGACCATATTTTAGATCTTTTGAGTATTCTTTTAAAAGTGGAACAAAAACTTAACACACTTTATCATTTTAATAGTGTTATTTTTAGTAACATTTTGTTTCCATTTTGAAATAATGAAGGTAGGCTTAAATAAGGTATATTTCATTCACTGCTCTTCTCTTCATTTACTTGACCTCACTAAATAACAGACTGATTTCTGTCGACTACATTAAAATGTTAGAAGCCTACCATTTACAAATTCTTCCTTAGGCAGTTAATCTTATTTAAATAATTGGCCCAGGGCCTCCCTGGTGCCACAAGGGGTTAAAGCCTAACACTGCAAAGCTGGCTCCCAGCTGCACTTCAGCTGGAGTTCCACCCCAGCCTGGGAGATGATCACAAGGCGGGGCAGACCTCTCCTGACCACCCGCTGCTCCCCTCAACGGTGTGCTTCATCCCTCTGCCTGTTCTGCTCCCCACTCTGTCTCTGGTGAATCCTCTCACTGCCCCCTGCACCTCTGACCTGTGACCCAATTCTGTATGCATAAATCTTAAATGAATGATTGACCCTCCCACAGAAAGAAAATCTGTGACTAACCCTGAGATTCTGGAAATTACATACTTTTAGCTGTACTGTCACTGTCCTTTTTTTATGCATTGTTTCACCTTCCAACAAAAACTCCTATTGGAACAATGCAATTCCAGATTTTCACCTCCTTTATATACTCAGTAAGAGTTGAAAACAGCAATTTCTTATCAAACGTAGTGGCTATGGCTACCTTATTATTTAGGCTGAAAAAAGAAGACTTAAAGGAAGAGCGTGAAAAGCATATTTTCATTTTCAGAATCAGAATTATGTAGTTAATGATTGCTTACCTCCTCCCTCATACCTTGATAAACGTTTCTGTGAAATCAGAATTGGAAAATGGCATCCTTTCGTGCAGGAGCATTTGCTTTGTGTAAGTAATTGTCAGGTTGAAAGTACCTTTTGTAATTGTGCTGTAGGATGATGTAGCTGCTGGCTGTTGCCAGTGTGCTGTCATGGTGGATGTATCCCTCCTATTTCAGAGTAGTTTGGGAAGCAAAATAGTTTTCAGAGATACTATGCGGTGATACATAAAAGAAGCCATTTTTCTCATCCTCAAAATGGTGTTCATGTTCCTTTCCCACCCCTATGTTGAGCTCAGTGTGTGCTTTTTGTTTCTACTCTAGAAAGTGTGGAGGGAAAGAGAAATTAAATATGTGGAGGAGAAAGAAAACAGATATATAAATATTCTTTAAGTTATTTCCTTTGTAGTCCTTTAAACTCTTCATTGGCTCTCCCTCATGGCTCAGTGGGTTAGGGTGCAACATTGCAAGCTAGCCACAGCCACTTTGGTGTGAGTTCGATCCCTGCTCTGGAGTTGACCCACATGGCGCAGTAGACCTCCCTGGGCCTGCCTGCTACTCCCATCAGCAGTGTACTTCATCATTTGGCCTGTTCTGCTCCCTATTCTGTCTCTGGTGAATCCTCTCACCACCTGCATCTCTGGCCTGTACCCTGATCCTGTATGCATTAATAAATAAATCTTTTTTAAAAAATAGACTCTTTGTCTTTTAAATTTCTTAGAATATGGTATGGTAACATGCACCCAAGAGACCTATATTTTTAAATTATATATAATGTTATGACCTTTTTGTTTGCTTTCCTCCTTGGGGGAGCGCTCACCATATACTCCAGCAGCTTCCCTTCCAAAATCCTCATCTCGCTCCTTAATTCAGTGGGAATGCCCTGTTTTGCTTGTATTTCTCCATGTGTATAGTCCATGTGTATAATGTGTCGTATATACTACATGTATGTTACTTTTAGGCAAAAATCAGGTTAATCTTACAGTTTATTTCATTTGTTTTCCTTCTCCCAGGGATTATTGTCCTTTCTTACCTGTTGTTCAGTGTCTCAAAATAATTCTAAATGTGTCTTAGTTTTCTTGATGTTTACAGGAGGGAGGCAAGTTACATTATAGCTTGAGGCAGAAGTCTCTGATAATTTAGTTTTGATTCTGATTTATTCTTTAGTGTGTACTTAGTTAATAGAAATATTGTCCGTCTGCTCATGCAGGATCTTACAGAGCTGTGCTTTGAGATTTGGATCTTGGTTCACTCATCTGGTATAGAATTCTAAATAACCACAGACTGGGTCATTCCAAATAACAGCAAGATTACTAGTAAGATGCAACGTTTTTGGAAAGGTCATTCTCTCATTAATTTAGGGCTAGTGAAGTTTAAAAAAAATGCTTTAGTATTTGTTATGTCCGCTTATAAATCATTTTTTCTTGATGCTAATTTAGTTAGCAAAATAATTAATTACTATGTCCTTTCAAAATTTCAGGAGCTGCATTTCTTGCTATTACAACCATCTATGCTGAGTCTGGGTCAGGTTTTGTAGTGCCAAGTGCTTCTGCCAAAGCAGGAGTTGAAGCCATGAACAAGTGAGTTTTATTTTAATCTTGTCACTGAAGATAAATAATATACTTTGGTAGCTCATAGAACTAAATTCCTACTTAGGGTTTCCATCCAAAGAAAAAGAAAACAAAGATTAATTTGAATTCCTTAGGAGACAGACAATTCATCTTCTGGATGAACTTTTGTAGTGAGGGACTTACTCTATAAACCCACACTATTCAATAGCTATATATGTGGCCACTGAATCCTTGAATTGTGGCTGTGGTGATTGAGAGAGTAAATTTTAGCAATTTAAAATATTTAAAGGATCTCTGGTGATGCAAGGGTTAAAGTCTTTGAGCTATCCAGTTCTTTCCAGCCTCTGTTCCCTGGCCAGGGGGCTGAGCCACTTGGCACAAGAGACCTCTCTTGTGTTGCCTGCTGCTCCCCTCAGCAGTGTATTGCAGTCAATCTGTCTGTTCTTTTCCTCACTCTGTCTCTGGTGAATCCTCTCATCCTGGACCAGTGATCTATACCCCAGTTCTTTTATGCATAAATACATAAAATAAATAGATCTTAAAATGTTTTTAAATGCTAACTTACTCTAAAACTAAATAGGATCTGAGACTTGCTAGACCAGGACTGCCACCTTTTTGCTGTCTCATGCACCTTGTGCTATGGCTCACCTTGCTTGAATACACCTTCATCTTTCGTTGTTCCTACTGTCCAGGATTAATAGGATTAACATGGACCAGTGACCCCTTGCCAGGTCTTGTGGCCTTTGCCAGCAGCAAAGAAGTACTTTTCAAATCTGTTCCCCACTGGCTTTTTCAGCTGTCTTTGTTGTGCAGGTTCTCACCATTGCCTACTTTCATACTGTAATAGCCTTAGTATGTTTTTCTGCGACCAGTCTCTTTACTATTTATTTCTATATTCACAGTCCACCAGAATCAGCTTTCAAAAAATATATGTCTGCTATGAAATAACTGAGCTAAAAACTCATTTTTCCATTACTTTTGGGAATGAGACCCAAAATTCAGTATGCTAATCTCAACAGACTTGTCCTAGACCTTTGTTTGTGCAATGACTTACTTGATAATTATTTATTGTGTGCCTTTTATTTGTCTGACACTGTTATATATACCAGGGATATGACAATGATGGAAAGCAGAGTAGTCCCATCCTCATGTGAGCTTATATTCATACACAAGCTTCCTGGGCTTTCATTTCTCTTGAAATATTCCACCTTCTCTTACATGTGCCATTTTATTTTCATTTTCCTGTGCCTGGGTTATGTTCTTGTTGGAATTTGTCCTGATATTTGCCTATTTTCAAGTGTCTTACTTTTTCTGGAATGCTTTGTTACTCTGAAACAAAATTCGTCCTTTTCTGTATATCCTTAGCATAGCATTTTGTTTATTCCAGTTTGGTTAAAGACTACTATGTGGGATAGGAGAGGGGAAGAAGGTCAAAACTGGGGTGGGAAGAGCACATGGGACTATGGTGATGGCCCAGGGGTGAATTGGTGGTGGGAAGACGACAGGGGTTACAACTGAGATGAAAAATGTATAAAATGAAGAATAATACATATGTGTGTATCACACACACATGTATTCTACATAGATGCAATATATAATACATATTATATTATACACATAACACATATACATTATATGTATAATACATATATACACACATAGGTATATATGTATGTATATACATATATATGTATTATCCTTCATTTTGTACATTTTTTCATATATATGCATTATTCTTCATTTTGTAATATATATGTATATGTGTGTGTGTGTATATATATATATACATATATATATATATATATAATAAAAATAAGTTCTCCAAAAAAATAAAATGTCAATGTTAAAAAAAAAAATGCCACTCCATATTGTAGATTCTAAAATGAAGGTTATGTAACAATATAATAAGAATACAAAGAAGGTCATTATAAACTACTTTGGTTATTAGTATTTTATATATTTTAGAATCTATGTTGTTCAATTTTTAGGTCTCTTGCAGCTGAATGGGGTAAATATGGGATGCGATTCAATGTGATTCAACCTGGGCCTATAAAAACCAAAGTAAGTTTTAGTTTGCTTCTTGTCATAAGTGACTATAAGTGTTATAAGTGACTAAGTTATATAATATTGATAGATATAAATCTGATTGTTATATACAGGACTGGTGGTGGGGAAAGGATTTTTCCATCATCCCACTATAAGAAATAAGAATGCAGTAGCTAACCAGCTTTTTTGATAAGGTCAATTTCATTATCTTAATATTCTGAACTTTTTTATTCCATCAATTTTGTCATTTTGTCTGGTTTGCTTCAGTGATCTATTTATTGGTCCTGTAGCTACTCATTTTTACTTTATTTTAAAGATTCATTGATATCAGTTTTTGTTTGTTATTCCTTCTCACATTCTTTTTAAAATCATGGAAATGCTTTAAGAGATGCTCTAGAAATTTATCATACAATCTTGGTCTCTATTGCTAGTATTTTCTTTGACTCGTGTCTATCTTTTTACTTTCAAATACTGACTTAAATATGTTATTGGATGTCCACATCCTTCTAATTAAAAACTCTTTGAATGGCATACATATCAGCTGTCACCAAAAATCCTTATGTATTCCTACTGCAACTCACAATTACCACTCTTGCTGTTATAGGTGTTGCTTAGAAGATCTACAGGTACTCTGTTTCCTCACATTACCCCAAATAACTTCACTCTCATACTTCTTTTTGTTTCCTTGTAAAGTAATGCGGGTTCCTATGACCTGGCTACCAACTGGACATTCATAAGCAACTGTGATCTATTTGCTATCTGCAAATAATAACAAAGTGTTCCTTAACAAACAGAGAAAAACTCCCAAAGCTTGAGGCAGGCCTGGGAACACCTAGGCTACTGTTTTCCTGGTTATGTGGCTATCTCCATGATGGTCTTGGGATAACTCTGCCATCATAACATCAAATAACTTTGCTGATGCAAATGTCTCTTGACATATTTCTCTATTCTTCATAAACTTTGTCCCCCTGAAATCCCAGACTTTATTCCTCATACCATTGTCCCATGATCAGCTTTTACTAGCCTGTGTGCTTTTAATAAATGACATAAGAACTTCTGCTCAAATAGCAGAGCCTTGTCTTGCAAACCTGCTGCATGTGGCCCTTACCCGTGTCCCTCAACAAAGTTCCTGTCCCAACTGAGGGTTCACAATCTCCCTTTATCTCTGTAGACCCAGGAGACATTTGATAATTTGTTTCATTCTATAAATACATTGAAAGACAAAGCTAAGGAGCATTTGAGTTATTGCCTATTAAATATGAACCCAAAACTGACATTTAGTTTATTTAGCAGCCAAAAGGCTGGAAAGTGGAAAAAAAGAAAAGAAAAGAAAAGAAAACCTAGTTGGCTAGATGAAACTTGATTATGTAATGTGACATTTAAGTAATAAAGTAAAGAATGCTAGTCACAATACCTTCTTCTGGGTTTCAGTAGCTAGGAAAGATCACCTGCATTTTATTTTTTCTATTTAACATGTTATTGAGTGCCAGCTATGTACCAAGTTGCTGAGAAAGATACAGAAACATTTGTGACGAAGTGCTTGCTTTCTATAGCTAGACTAGCTTATAGTCTGTCAGTAGAGATATGAGTTGCACACTGTTATCAAGTGGGTAGTTTTGAAAAAATAAAAAGAAAATTGAAGCATAAAAACCCCTAAGCAAGTACCTGTCCTGATAGAACCAGGATTGGGGCCTTTGTCTGGACTTTGTCTCTGCTGCTTGATTCCTGCCCAGGCAGAGCAGGGGGTTGGGGGGGGGGGTGTTCCAGGAAGCTTCCTGAGTGCTTGCTTTGTTTAATTCTTATGTTATTGAAAAAACTGTTACCTAGACTCCCAGGCACTAGTGCAGAAAAATTTGATTATTTTTATCAATCTAGGCACATGCATAGGTCATCTTGATCTGCTCTATCACATCATTAACAGAAATTGTTTGTCATTAACAGAAACCATAGTTACGATTTTTCTTTCTGTTCTCCTTGAATTTAATATTCATAGGTAGTTGTAGTCTTCCTTCCCTATTATACGAAAAGAAAGAAAACAAAAAGGATTCATATAAATATGTCCTAATTGAGTCATTTTCATGTTTACAAAATCCGATAACAATAAATCTCTGTAGTGCCTGAGAGGAGGGCCATGTGGCTTTGCTGGTACTGAGACATACTGCCCCCATCTGTTTGGGCAGCAACTGTCCAAGGACTGCTAGGGCCAGCCTGTGCAGGCCAATCTAAAAAAACAATGGCAGAAGTGGGGGGAAGGGTTTCCTTGGGAAGGGAGAACACCTGGTGAATATCCCCAGGGGGTGGACAGTCTGAAAGTCCCTCTGCATCTCGGGGGTTCTAGCAATATTTCCACAACACTAATTTCAGAGTATTTTCTCTTTTTTCACCCATTAGGTGAGGTGGATGAAACATGTATCCTCATCTTACAAATGAAAGACTCTAAATTTTATTTATTTATCTATTTATTTTATTTGTATATCTAGCTACATTATGTACATTATTCTTCATTTTAACACAATGTTTACTTCCCACCTCACCCACCAGTCATCACCGTAGTCCCCCACTTTCCTTCTGATCCATTTCTGTCCCCCTCTCCTGTAGGAAATCTCTGGTTTATAATTGTTTGTTTTTGTTTTGTTGTGTTTGTATTGTAATATCAATATAATTTTTCCACCTATGTCTTATTTGGTTCTTTTAAATTCCTCCTATAAGTGAAACTATTTGATATTTTTCTTTTTCCCTCTGACTTATTTCATTGAGCATAATAATCCCTTCTAGCTCTATCCATGTTGCTGTGAATGGCATGAGTTTGTCTTTTTTGACTGCTGAGTAATATTCTATTATATACATACATATATGCATACACATATACACACAAGTGTGTATGTATGTATGTGTGTGTGTGTATGTGTGTATACACCACATCTTTTTGATCCAGCCATCTAGTTTTGGGCATTTGGGTTGTTTCCAGAATTTACCTGTTGTAAGTAGTGCTGCAGTAAACATAGGTGTGCAGGGATCCTTTTGAATTAATGGTTTTGTGGGAGACCGTAAAGTTCAAAATTGCAATTTCTAGTGATTAGAGGTTTGACATTAGATAAAGTGACCTGTTTGAGCTAAAAAGCAGATGTGGAAGAAGTTGGCAAAATTCTCTTTTGTTTATAAGGACCAAGATATGAACAAACTGCCATAGTAACATTTGATTTTATGCAATTTTGTTTCTTAAATAGGAAGGAAATTGTTATTTAACAATTTATGAAAAATTGTTTCTTAAATTAGAAAAACAAAACCTAATGATTTTCTTAACTTCTAAGGGTGCTTTTAGCCGTCTTGACCCCACTGGTGCTTTTGAGAAAGAAATGACTGACAGAATTCCCTGTGGCCGGCTGGGAACTGTGGAAGAACTTGCAAACCTTGCAGCTTTCCTCTGTAGTGATTATGCCTCTTGGATTAATGGAGCAGTAAGCATTGCTTTTTCTCCTGACTGTCTGGGGAGGATTTAGGGTGGGAGATGTTTTGTAGAATCAGTCCCAACAATGTTGAGTGTAAATATGATTTAAAATATTTGTCCACTGTAAATAAAATAAAAATATTAGTATATACTGTAGTTCATGAGATTTGTTCAGTAATAAATTATATGAAATGCAAATTACTCTGGTAGACATGATTTAAGATGAGCTTTAAGATAAAGTAGAATTTGAAATTGTGGAGAGAAAAGAAATAGGATACTATAAGTCAGTTTAGGTTTAGTTGTTAGCATTGTCTTTAAAATTAGGACTTTTATTTAAAATGTCCAAAAGATAGGGCTTTTAGAATGGGAAAATAACTAATCATTCAGAAAATTTGAAAGCAGTTAGCTTCGCCATTTTTATTTAATTTTTTTTTTTTTCAGGTCATTAGATTTGATGGTGGAGAGACAGTATTTATTTCAGGGGAATTCAACAGCCTGCAGAAGGTAATGCCATTTTGTATCTGTATTCTGTTAGCAGCTAGGACACTAAGTCTTAAAAACATGCAAACATCACATTAAATGGAGTTTTTCTCTTTGTGTTAATTAGGTCACCAAAGAGCAGTGGGACACAATAGAAGGACTCATCAGGAAGACAAAAGGTTCCTGAACTACTCTGACCTTCATCTTGGTTAAAGTGTAAATGACACAAGTTGCCTATAATCTCTTGAATATACTCAAGTCTAATAAATTTTTAATTAAAAAACATTCACTGGGCCCTCCCTGGTGGCGCATTGGGTTAAAGCACAGCACAAAGAAGCTTAAGCCACTTCCGCATGGCATGAGTT